GAAAAATTTTGAGTTTACGTGTAAAATATTTTAATTTATGAATTTGTGGTTGAAAAGGGTGTGTGGTTTAAAAAGATTGATTTTTTTTTTTAAAGTTTACATGTAATATTATTTTATTAAAAAATGTGTGGTTGATAAGATTGAGAGGAAAAATAAATTTTAATTTAATGGGGGTCAAACATGAGTTGAATTAACATTTTAATTTAGAGGGCGAATTTGCCTCTTAAATTTATAGAGCTAACACATACACACTCTATAATTAAATGCATTCGAATTATTTCAATTTTAAATAAAAAAAATAACATAATAATTTGGAGGGATGCCAGTGAAAATAAAATATGGGAAAAAATAATAAGAGCCTGTTTGGTAGGGATTTTTGGGGGAAGAATTGATTTTTGAATAGTGATATGATGGGAAATGTGTGGTTGAAAAAGAAGAAAAAATTATTGATGTGATGGAAAATATTATTTTATTGAAGAATGTGTGGTTGAAAATGAGAATTGATTTACTGTAGAAAAATCTAATCTCCCCCAAACAGTGCCTTAGGGTGTGAACTTAATTTCTCCAAACGGGAGAAGACAACATCATATTCAATCAAGGGTCATGGCCCAACTTAAAGTCTCCACTTTCTTTACATATTATAGATTGATATGTTTGGTAGGCACTTATTGACATTGATGAATTAACTTTTATTCTCAATAATTTTTAAATTTTTTTTTTTCAACAATGTATTCATAAATCATAAATATAAGAGTATCGTCAATGGTGATGTAAAATTAAGTGTAAACTAACATTTATAAAATCATTTTTGCATTCTCATATACATCTCGGTGGATTTTAAATTCAAATTCTGCTACAATGGAAAGATATAAATATTGGGCACAAGTGTGTTAGTAGCTTTTTATGTTTTGTGAATTCCACGTAGATGTAAAAAAAGATGTAATTTTATATTTTTTTGCCAAAGATGCAGTTTGCATTTCCTTTGCTAGCAACTCAATCTACAGTAACTTAAACAAGTGAGTTATTTGTTGGTCTACAGTCCACTCCTCTCTCTTTAGGAGGTTCGCCGAGTTGGAGTGATACTTACCAATTACCATCACGAGAGGAACGTGTTCTAGCCACTGAAGTCACCGTAAGGATCTTTTCGTTGGTGTGGTATTTATGTCCTCAACCTATTATTTATTGCACTCATATTCGTAACTTTTTAAATCTATGTAGGCGTGAACATTTTAATCGGAATCGCCTGTTCACCGTTGTTAAAAAATTATATGGAAACGAATTATTCCATTTACAAAGTAACCAAAGTTTAATCGGTGGTTTTGCTTCTTTAAACACCCAGATTGAACTACCGGCGCCTATTCCAATTTGATTTCAAAAATTACATTTAATCGAGTGGTACCATTTACAAAATGTTCGAAGTTTAATTGGTGGTTTTGGTTCTTGAAATATTCAGACCGAACCACCCGACGTCCAACATTAAACTATGGCACCTCATTTTATTAACTAACGAAAAACATTTGTTTGAATTTTGTACTTTGAAAAGTTGGGAACATGAGTGCAACAAATGATTAGTTCGGAACACAAGTGCCATAGTTACAAAATATTGAGGACCCCTGGTAGAATTTATTAAAGAACAAAATTACTTTTAAGTAATAGTCTATATCCAAGCATATTTACTTACCTTTTTTTTTTTTTTTTGGATTTTAAGTAAAATTAGCTACTTTTTCTAAAAAATAGTTCTTTCTTTACTGATTACGTAGTGGGCATAAGTAATTGGCCAAAAATTGCTACACTTGAGAGTTGGTTAATCGACGATGCAAAAAATCTCGTGCTTATTCTATATTGTCTTAAAAATTGTTAATAAAATATATATCCAATTGCCATTTAACGTTTCAATCAACACCACGTATAATCCCTCTACCATGAGCGCGTTCCCTCAGCTTTTGTTGAGCGAGTTGACGATAGTGATTAATGGGGTAAAAAAAATTAAAAAGTTGGGTGTTAAATTTGTAGTAAAAATAAGTTCAATGGCTAAAATAAGGAAAAAGAAATAGTTGTCTCCACATATTTTTAACCCTCTGTTTTAAAATACATATGTACATATCGGTAAATTAAATAATTAATGAAGATGAATACTAAAAGGAATATTTCACGTGTGAATAATAAATAAATAATTATTATGAAAATGTGGTTAAAATTAATAATTATTTTTGACTGAATTTCTAAATTATTTATAAATTGATTTACAAACGGAAGCTTGTAAAATAATCCTTTAAAGCTTAGCGAAACATTCTCTAGATGTAGACGTCTTGAGAAACTCACGCTCCAAATGTCTCCAGTGCAAACTTAAAAGTCGCACTGGCACAAACTATTTTCTGTAGTTCAAAATGGAATGAACTGTAAAGAAATTACAGGATAGAAGCCGCTCCCTATATGGCAACTGTCACTATATCGTACATCCAGGTGCCAATCCACATCGGTCTTAGTCAGTAATCAACAGTCAATTTTTTCCCTCCCTGCACCGCGGCCGTTACTATCGACACCTCCGCCACAGCCTTCAGCCCTCACCAACCACCGTGGACTTGGCTTAGATAAAAAAGTCCGAAATACACATTCTCTCTTATACTTAATATGGAGACTCCGAAGTCCGAACGGGTATTTGGCATACAAACAGTACTCCTCCTTTGCTTCTTCCCAGAGAGAAGTCACTTACAGGTCCTTCATCTCTTCTTCTACGCGCCTATATATGTGCGTGTGTTGTGTCCGTGTGAATGTCGGTAGTGATTTATGCGTACTGTTTGCGTAATTATGTAACGGCGAGTTACAGTCTCACAGAAGCAATTATTTTTATTTTACTTAAAAGTAGGGACAGAGTTAGTTGTCCAAATAATGTTTGGAGCTTTAGCCTAACATGCTCAGAATCAGCTTTTTTTGGAATGACTCACGTCCTAACGCTATCTATTGTATCTTAGTTTCTAAGAGTGTTGAAAACCATGTCCAACTTCCCGTGACTTAGCTGAGATAACTGATTGTTTCATAAATTGATATAGCAAAAGGACCTTGGGCATGTGTGCCAAACTTAAAATTTAGTCCCTGTTTTGAATAGGTGAAAATAAATTTTAGTAGATTTTGATAAAAATTGATGAAATGTGTGGTTGAAAAATTGTGGGTCATATGAAATGCGTGGTTAAAATAAATTGTTGATTTTGACTTAGATTTTAATCCAGTTTTTTAGCTGAACTAAACTGGGGCTTAATGAATAAATAAATATATGAAAACTAAAATGCCATTGAGCACTTAAAATGTTTACAGTGTTTTATCCTATTTATTAGGAGCTTACTTAACATTACACTTGATAATTTGTATTTATCAATCCTTTCTTTGGAAAAAAATAATAATAAATACTATGATGAAGTACTAGACTTCTTGGATAAGTCTGCTTTGATATGAAAGGAATGCTGGGGGTTGCATCATAAAGTAATATTCTCTTCAATTTGTTGGGTTTTGCTATGTATGCATCCAACATTCAGTAAATGATAATTATGGCTGAAAGTGCCCATCTAAGGCATTTGATTGTACGATTTCAGGGAAACTTAAGGGTGTTTTTGATGGATATTATTGATGAAAGAATGTATTTTAAATAGTTATATGATGAGAAATATGTGTTTAAAAAGTAAGGAAAAATTATTGATATGATGAAAAATATTATTTTATTAAAGAATGTGTGGTTTAAAATGAGTTTTGAAAGAATATATTTTAAAAAGGAAAAATCCATTTGTAAAATGATTAGGGTGTTGTAACTTTTATAATACTCTCACGTTAGGTTGGGGCCTACTAATTACCACCATAATGTGCCCTAATCATTGTACACCTAACATTGTTGTTTTAAAAAAATGTGTACCAAACA